TCCAAAAGATAGTTTTTATATAAAGTATTAAATAATAATAAGATATTAAAGTACTTATTATATATAAGATCAAAGGTTTTGATAATACATAAATTTACTATTACCTATTTAAGTTTTACCCACCAAGCCTTAAAAGAAATAAGATGTAGCTCTACCATGAAAATAAACTCTAGAGACAAAGATCAAAGCATCCATAGAGGAATAAATATCAAAACAAAAACTTTGGTGAGTTATAAAGTCAATAAGTATAATACATTATAAAATATTTTACAATCAAGTTATACAAATAAGTAATATGGATACCAATACACATTATCTCAATCAATCTAGTCATAACTCAATGTTTATAACTTGCGTTTATAAGATCACTAAGCATGTGTAACCCAAATTATCTCCACTAAGTAAATCACAAAGAATATATATATATATATGTATGTATGTATATATGTATTTTCCTATATTACAAAAAAATTAAGTAAGAAAATACTCAAAAACTAAATTATTTTAATAAAACATCGCAAGTCCAAGGCTAAAATAACCTAATTTTTGCTTTAAAATTTAGGGTATTTAAGAGAAGGGAACTCAACTTTGCTTAAATAGATTCTTTGGTCCCCAAATTTGTATTCTAAGCATTGAAGAGTAATTAAAGGTAAATATAAAATTAAGAAAATTTTGGGGCGTTACATGGAGTGTTCTACTAGACTTTGCTGTATTTGTAATTTTTCTTTTATCTTTTTTATTTTATTTTATAAATATATAAAATAAAGAAAAAAAATTGTATAGTTTGAATTGTTTTGAAATACACAACTTTAATTATTAAATAAGAGCAACCCTTTAATATTATGCAAAAATATGGCATAAGGACCCGAACTTACACCAAATTCGCAATTTCGGACCCAAACTTCGATTGCGCTCAATGAAGGTCCCAAACTCCACGAAATTCTGAAATAAGGTCCCAATTGGACGGAAAACTAACTTCCGGTCAAATCTCCTATTATTCCGTTAATGTTCCGTCACATTTAACACCCCCACTTGAAAAAAATTGGTTAAATGTTAATTTTGGTCTCTCAACTTCATTGAGTTTCACTTTTTTATCCCTCAACTTTATTAAATTTCATTTTTTGTCCCTTAACTTCATTAAATTTCACTTTTTTATCCCTCAACTTTATTGAATTGTACTTTTTGGTTCATAAATTATTTTTTATACTTTTTTGGTCCTTAAATTATTTTTTACACTTTTTTAATCCTTTAACTTTAATAACTGCACAATTTTGATACTTTCATCAGTTTAAGCCATTAACTACATCCACTTGATATTTTTTATATTTTTTTGATGACATGTATAATCTAACTGAAAAAAATAATAACATAGATCATCTAATTAGAAATAATGATGATATGGATAAATAAAATAATATGTAAATAAATTTTAATATTTTTCATAAAAATAAAAAAATCTCTCCACCTATTTTCTCCACAATGGTTTCAAGTCCCCTTTTTAGTACTGTAGCTCAGTGAATTTATTATAAAGTGATTATTTCTTGCCTTCCTGTGAATTTAATAGGTGGAGAGGTTTTTTTGTTTTTATTAAAAATATTAAAATTTATCTACATATTATTTTATTTATCCATGTTATCATTATTTCTAGTTAAATGATCTATGTTATTATTTTTTTCAGTTAGATTATACATGTCATAAAAAAATATAAAAAATACCAAGTGGATAGAGTTAATGGCTTAAACTGATGAAAGTATCAAAATTGTGCAGTTATTAAAGTTAAAGAATTAAAAAAGTGTAAAAAATAATTTAAGGACCAAAAAAATACAAAAAATAGTTTATAAACTAAAAAGTACAATTTGATAAAGTTTAGGGGTAAAAAAAGTAAAATTTAATGAAGTTGAGGGAAAAAGTGAAATTTAATAAAGTTAAGGGACAAAAAAGTGAAACTCAATGAAGTTGAGGGACCAAAATTTGCATTTAACCAATATTTTTCAAGTGGCGGGTGTGAAATGTTACGGAACATTAACGGAACAATAGGTGATTTGACTCGGAAGTTAGTTTTCCGTCCAATTGAGATCTTATTTGAGAATTTCGTAGAGTTCGGGACTTTCATTGAGTGCAATTGAAGTTTGGGTCCGAAATTACGAATTTAGTGTAAGTTCGGGTCCTTATGTCATATTTTTGCCTTAATATTGAGGGTCTTC